AGGGGCAATAGGTACTGGCTTATTATGGCTTTGACGTGAAATCCTCCACCGTATCGCGCGAGGCTCTCCGTTGTCTCGCAAATGCCCTCCTCCTTGAACCAAGCATGCGCCAGATATTTGTGGACTTGGGATACGGGCCTAACCTCGCAGATCGGCTCAAGGTAGAAAATCCGTCAACACTGAATGCGATCTTGTGCTGATTTTGTGACTGCAACTATTTTCAGGAAGAAAATTCTGATGATGAATTTTTGGCATCGCGTTTGCTATTCCTAGCCACCTACGACACTGATTTAGACTTTGATAAATTGATTGATAACAACAATCTCGGGGAATATATCAATAATGTATGGGTTTTACTATCCGATCTCTTGCACAAACAGCAATTCTAACAGGTCATCACAGCACATATATCGACATTCGAAACGATTCTCCAAAGCCAGAAAGAAGAAGCTCGATCAAATGGATGAGCTTGCACTCTCAGAAACGTTAAAACTGATGTTCAATATCACCAACTTCTACCCTCACCGAGTTGACGCATTCTCGCCTTCAATTCCGCATATTTTGAAGATACTAAGCCGCATTGAAATACCCACCCCGCCGCTCCAGGCCCCTGTCAACTACCTCATCAACTCCCTTCTCAACCTCGACCTTGAAGCAAAGAAAAGCAAACACTTCGGGACAAACCCCTTGTTTCCCAAATTCGACCAGAACTGCAATGTAGACAAGTTGATAAATATTCTAGATCAAGCTGTCGCGATGCATAAACCCCAACACCTCGAAAGTCTAGCCGTACCTCTTCTCACATTGTTACGGAAAATCTATTCCTTCGCACCTGAAGGTCCCAAAAAATATATGGAATGGCTGCTCCTTCCTGAAGATAACGACCATGACCTTCCTATCGGCAAATCAAATACACTCTCCTCTCGCCTCCTGCGTCTATCAACTTCGCCTGTAGCCCCAAGTCTCCGTGAAGGCATATCCGCTCTGATGTTCGAACTTTCTGGTAGCGACGCAACTGATTTTGTGAGAAATGTTGGGTATGGATTTGCTGCTGGTTTCCTCATGTCGCATGATATGCCGGTTCCAGAGACAGCCAAAGAAGCATTCAGCACCAGTGCTGGTGGGCTTGATCCAAATCTGAATCCCATTACTGGGCAGAGATGGGATGCGGAACCCCAAGATGGAGGCCCGGAAATGACAGAGGAGGAAAAAGAGCGAGAAGCAGAGAGATTGTTTATTTTGTTTGAAAGGTATGTTCACATTAATCATATTTTATTTTTACCATTTGCTAATTCCTTTGCTTGGTTATATTCTACAGGCTAAAAGCTACTGGTGTGGTTGACGTAGAAAATCCCGTCAGTGCTGCTCTCCAAACGGGGCGATTTGAAGAACTGGGCTGAAGTCCGTAGTTTACGAAATATCCTTATCTGGTGTTTTGAAATATACTCCCACCTGTTTTTGCTGGTTATACTAAATGGGTTTCTTTTTTTTTGCTTTATTTGATTACAATTCCAAATTACCCCATATGAATGCATTAATCGTGTGCTATCTTTCTCCGCTTGATATATCCCCTACGTACCAGTCATTGATTTAAACGCCACTATAAACGTTGATAATTGTGTATCCAGCGTTAATATGCAATTCCCAATCCAATGAAGGTGCACATGTTTTTTATCGTGTTCTCCTCCCAATTCGCAACCCAATATCATTGATTAAAAACGGAGCGAAATTCTATAGGGGGCGAAAATGGTGTTCAAGGTTTATTCTAACAAACCCTCGAGAACCACTACCTTCCCCATCCAGTAAAGTAATACAGCATTCATCCTAAAATAACTTGAATTGATGGGATATTATTCTTATCAGATCTCATGCAGTTGGGGGACGCTCCGATATCACATCATGTATAGTTTAGTGGAAACACTAGCTATATTTGAATAACCTCTGAATCTGGACTAAATGTTATCCGGTGCTATACCAGATGTTGCTAATATATTATATTAAGAGATTTAAAATAAGGCTTACGGCTATTAACTATCTTACCAAGTAATTGTGATATAAGTATTTCTTTTCATAAACTATACCTACTGTGCAACACCATGAAAAAAAAAATTCGCAAATTTGCTTTGCTCTATTGATTTTAGCAAGAACTCTCCTGTATCTAAAAATGGTATGTGACTAGAACCTGATCTCCATTCAAGACTCATTTGAAGTATGTTTGCATTGTGGATTTAAGAGGCTTGTTTGCTCACCTCCCAAAAGAGGTGTACTATTATATATTTATTCTTTAAATTTCTAGCAACTACTGTACGTATATACAGCCCTCTCTTTGGTTACATGGACATCAGGGACCTATACATAGTTGTGTTACAGTGTTTCCCTGCACATTTGCCTTCTTGTTATTTATCTCTTGAAGAAGCCGAAGGACATCAGCTACCAAATACAGGCTACCGGCAACTACCAAAGGCCCACTTTCACCACTTTCACCACCACCTTGCTTTGAGACTTCATCGGCCCACTCCAGCGCGGACACAATATCACCCCCGAAGTCCTTCGATTGCGCTAATTCACGCGTGCTGTCACTGTCGCTGCTGCTGCTCGTACAGCTGCTTACTACAGATAGCAGCTCTGCGCTTTCCACACTCCTCACCCACGGCATCCCATCCACAGGCCCAAACTGGACAACAGCAACATTGTCACCAGGTTTGAGCATGCAGTTGAATAATTCTTGAGTGTTCTTGCCCTGCGACGCAGCAATTACCCAAGTAACACTAACATTGTTTATATTCTCATGACTGGATGGATGTTTTCGAAGGTTGCGGTCTACATACGAGCAGAGGACACGTGCCGATTGAGGGTTATGTGCACCATCAAGGAGGATCGGTTGGCTGCGGGAAATAAGAGGGTTGAGGGAGAGTTCCTGCAAACGGCCTAGTCGTGGCGTTTTGGGGATGTGTTGGAATAAGCTTGGCAATGGTAGAGATGACGGCAAAATGCCCTTCTGCTGTAGGGCGGCGACTGCACAGGCGATATTCGCCTTCTGGTGTGGTTCAATGTTTAGGCATTTGAATATCTTCGCCAGCTCAGTGAATTCTTCCATGATGGAATCTGGGCTGGTGATGATGAAAGGTGTTTGCGTTTCCCATCCAATTCCCTCAAGTGTAGTTAGAACAGCCGGCTCGTTTGTCCCATCAATGACACAGGGAGTCCCGGGTTTCATAATACCCGCCTTCTCCCGCGCGATCTCCTGAAGGGTATTGCCCAGGATCGCTTGGTGATCATGGCCAATCTGAGCAATGATAGACACCAGAACATTACTTTTATTCAAGATATTTGTCGCATCCAGGCGGCCGCCCATACCCACCTCAACGATCCCAACATCGACATTTTCATGTGTGAAGATTTCAAATGCAGTGGTGGTGAGCAGCTCAAACTCAGTTGCACCAATTCCTAGTGATTGATTGCGGAGTTTGACATTGTGTTCTATCTGGCGGAAGAGAGGTTCGTGGACCACACAGTTGTCGATTGTTATACAATCCCACCGGTCGATGAGGTGCGGGGAGGTGAAGGAGCCGCACCGCACACCAGCTGCTGTGAGTAGAGCAGAGAGGTAGCCTGTAATGGAGCCTTTACCATTTGTGCCAGCGATATGGATGGCTCTCCAAGGCAGGGAAGAGGGCTGGACCAATTTAGCAATGCGGGAGAGTCCGAGTTGAATCATCCTGTCCCATCTGTCCTCATGAACCGGCGGGTCTCAGGAATCAAGGACAGAAACTGGCCAATGCTTGACCTCAGAAGCTTAGCCCCTCGGCTAAAGTGGATCGAGTGTCCAATTAAATCTATAGAGTTTGCATATTATCCCAAAAGATGAATTCCTTCAAGTGGTTAAAATTTCTAGCTGTGTGTAGTTGCTGCTCAAACGCTAGTCCGCAATAGGAAGTCTACCTAATATCATGCTCCAACAACTCACTCAGTTCCCATCGAAAGCCAGGTCTAGCGAACAGCGAAGCCCAGAAATAGAAAACCTCACGATAATAAGGCTAACAGCTTACCATAAACGCCAAAGTGAAAGGAACGTGCCATTGAGAATAATCTATAATACAACCAAAAACTAGAGCACATACCACCAATCAACGCAACCAGTAACTTCTGTTAATATGCAAATACATCGCTTCTTCTGTCCTGAAACAGGGAATGGGAAGCCTCTCTGATGGCTTCATTGGTCCAGGAGCCAATTTCTTACTTTCAATCTCAGTGCTAGCTTTTCGCTTGCCTTTGCCAAGCCTTGTATCTCCACGATCAATCTCAACTGGGAGGTATGACTCTTCCACGACTACCTGCACAGGGCACCGTCTTACGTTGCCCAGATGTATTGTGGGATCAAAACTGATCAAAATTATGGGTCGTTTACCATCCGATGTGGCAGGCGCTGTTGAGTAAACCATAGAGCGTTCATCGGAGGTAGCATCCACATCCCCACATCTTTCAGGAGGGCAGAGTAGCGACAGAAGTTCCGGGTGGGAATTTAGAGGAGGCCACAGCTTGATCCCGCGAGATTCGAAACGCTCATCGCTGTTTGGTATCGGTTCCTTTTGATTATCCAGTTCTGGCGGATGCAAAAGGCCGTCCTCACCTATGGGGAATCTGCGCTTCCGGGAACCTATACGAAGCCGTAATCTATCTATCTGTTGTTTTGATTCAGAATTATCATTAACCAAGTCGATAAAAGCTGACGCAGAATGGTTGTATGTTCGATACTTTGTTTTTGCAAAAATGAAGTCTCTGGCCATAGATGAAGACAGCTCATTTTCATCATATTCTGGGTGATAATTTCGGCGGAGGCGAATTTTGGGAGGTTGGTAATTAGGCTTGCTGCGGCCATCGAGAGCTGAAGTTAATGGATCATCAGGAAGAAGACAAACCGACAGATATTTAGGAAATCCAGGACTGTAGGACTCATCGCTTGAATGGGGTTCCCTTCCAGTTTGTGAATCTTTGCCCTTAACCAAGCCGTCCTCCTTTGAAAAATCTGTCTTGCAGCATGAAAGGGGTTGCATATAGTATGTCCTATAATTCTTACTGCCAGCACCGCTCCATTCTCTTCGACTTTCGATGATTAGGAGTTGATTCGTTGCATCGTCTGATTGAAGTGAGATGTTAGTCCACATGTCGTGGATCGGGCCTTCGCGGTGTTGTCGACGCCACAACGCACGCCATTCGACATTGTGAGGAGTTTGTACTGGAAACCGAATGCAAATATAGTAAGAAGTCCAGTCAATTTCTTCATCTTCAAATCTGCTGGCGTTTGAAACGGCGTAAAAGTGGTTATCATGGAGTTCAAAACAGATTGAAGACCCGATTTCAGATCCGACGAAGTTTTCCAATTGGACGGGGCGTTCTGCTAGGGGCCTCCTCTCAACCAGGTCCCAGCCATGAATTATCCATTCGTGGTGGCCATGCTCGGCAAACCGAGAATGAGTTCCATAAAATAAGACCAAATCATTGTGGCGTACAAATATTCTTCGTGACGATTCAAGCTGTTTCAGGAAAAGAAGTCTCCTGTTGTCTGTAGTAGATTTCTCACGAATATCAAGGACAATTAGCCACGGTTGAAGGCCGGTTATCTCACACAAGCCTGCGACGATGCCGTGGCTATAATTCAGAAGAGAAAATTGCACTCCTTGGTTAAAATCGGGAGGCACTCTCCAGGCACCAAGCAACACAGCCCCAACATTGACAACTTGCTCTTGCCGAGCAGCTCCATGCACATCAAGCGTACGGATCTCGCCTTCATCCAAATAACATAATACGCCTTGGTTGAACAAGAATGACTCGCCATATGCAACCATACATGCCAAGTAAGGTTGTGCAGTTGCCACTGCCTCACGCACGTCATACACTCTCCTGAGAGCCTCAATATATGTGATCTTTCCTTTCGAGGCCAATTTCCCTTCTCTTGTGTGGGAAATACATAACTTTGTAAGGTGTCAGTCCGTAACTAGATCATCAAGAAGTTGACCTTATATCTAGATGCGTTAGGAAACTTACTTGTACTGTCTTGCGGGCGGTGAGGTCACTTTTCAGCAAAGAATATAATTGCCGGTTGACAAAGCTCAAGTTAATGTAATCTTGAGGATCGAGACAAGAAGCAATTTGATACCATAAATCAAAGGGGATATCACCAATAGTGGTAGTCGGCATGATATAAGCAGGTAAGGTCTAGGGGTACCAGCGAGGAGCCGCGGTCCATAAGCATCGAGGAGTAGAGAATAGAAAGGGAAATGGCAACGTGGTAATGTCACCTTTCCTAGCTTGATAACCCCTTCGGACCCAAAAGGATGGAATTTTCCAATTAAATGGGCATAGTGGAGCAATATTTTCACTCTCGGAATGTAGCGAAGCTGCTAGCTGGGCGAGAAGGCGGGAAGCTTTGGAAGTCGAAATAAGTCAAACCAGGCACAGGTCACAACTGCAAGCTCCAAGAGACCACAGGCAGAGTAGCGGGTTTATATGCTGTTGTCGATGATGAGGCTGAAAGTTTGGATTCCGGAAAATAGCATTTGAAGCTGGCACCACCACCCAAACAGATCCCAAACGTGACGGGGTCACATAAGGCTGGGGGTTTATTGGTGTGTTCCTAGTCGCATAAAGGAGCAATTTCCGGGACGTTTATTTGTCAACCAATATTGCCGGATTCAAGCTTATCAGTCCCGAGAAGTGTGTGAGGCTCTGCGAGAGAAAACGAAACTTTTCATCAACGCGCTGGCCATGTTCGCTTGCTTCCCAGGTTGTGACAAGCCGGCTAGTCCCAGCCTGTATATTTTTAGGTTTCCAGGATCTGTTCATCTTGGTCATGGGAGGCTCCAAATGATTCTCTGGAATGGCCTACTGCGTAATGCTACTGAGTGGCGAAGCGACAACAGAAACAATAGGGCGGCATCGATTGGCTGGAAAACGGTCTCTGGATTTCCACCGGCGGAAAAAGTGGCCCCTTAAATTGGTTTTTCCCTGAACCCCCCCCCCCCCCCCCCCCCCCCCCCCACATCACTCATAATACCCATGACAAGAACAAACCCTTGAGTGGATTCTGATGCAATGTTGACCAGAGTGGAACGCCGTGGTATCCTGTCGGCCAAGTTGTCGCGCACTCCGTTTCCTATGTAAATTAACGGAGTGTCGCGTGTCTCCAAGTGGTGGTCGCCCCTCCGACTTTGAAATTTTGCCAAAAGAGGTTTCGGTTGTGTCCGCTATGAAGAGATGGGGGAGTCGTATCTTGGGCTAAACTACGCCAATCGTTGTAGCTGCTAGCCAATCATCCGTAGAATTGCTGCTCAGGCGTACCCCCGGAGTTGCATATGCATACATACATAGGTACTAGTACAGGACAATCCCGGTGGGTGACTCTGCACAACGCGCATTCGCCTTCGGCTTCTCGTTGCGGCTCTTTTTGCGCATCTGTCCGGGGGTGTGGAAGATCAGTCCTTGCACACACTAGAGATTAAACGGAAATCTCAATACTTGAGCCCAAATGAATCCAGTGTCTCAACATCAATTATGACAGCCAAGTTTTAGGCATTATGCCTCTAAACTCGACCAAGTGTTTGGGGACTTGGCTTGTCAACTAGTTGACTGATTTGTGCCAACATGCTTAACTCTCCTTAAAAATGTCTGGTGTATTCAACCATGATACAGGTATTGGATGCGGCTCTGCCCTGTGGCTATTTGGGGAGCGAAACAGCAAATTTGCCATCATCTTTTCTGCTCCTTTTCTTCCAAACCAACGGTCCAATTTTCTCCCCCATATTTTCCCCTGCTATCGGCTGGCTCAATAATGAGCGCAGTGGGAATTTATTGTGGATTCACGTAATCCACTACTCAGCACCCATGCTGTTTTCCATATAAAATCAAGGATGATCAGCTATATCTCTCAACAGCTATTGTATTAATTCCCTACGTGACTTGTAATTTATGAATGTAGATGAATATTTTTAACAAGTATTTTAAAGTCCAAAATCGTCCTTATATTGTTGAGCTATAAACCTATATATTGTAAGTTAGTTAAGTGCTTTGGCTTTTAAATTACATCAGAGCCACTGACATCCGCCTGCCCCTATGGTATGGCCAGTCCTTGATTACTCGTACTTCTCCGCATGAACATGGCAGCAACCACACTCACAAATCAATCGTAGGGGTGTATACTTAATGGGCCGAATGTAATTTATAGAGGAAAACACTACCAATATATAACATTGTAGCCTTCTGAGTCTTCATTGTGGCTGCTCACTTGCAAACTTCTTCTTCAACGCCGCCACATCAAGTCCACAAAGCTCTGCCTTCTTTACAATATCTCTTGACCTTTCCACAACAGGAACATCAATCATCATTCCATCCAATGTCCATGCACCCCTCCCATCCTCTGCTGCCTTCGTATCAGCCACAATAACCCTCACTGCCCACTCCACCTCCTTCAACTCAGGACTGAAAAGCTGCTGCACTAACTCCACTTGAGATGGATGAATACACTGCTTCCCATTGAAGCCCATGCGCTTGCCATTCAGCACCTCATCCTCCAATACAGCAGGTGTCTTGAAGTCCGTGCATACTAGATCAATTATTGACGACAACTTATGTGCACAAGCAGCAGTTACAATTGCAGAGCGCGCGTAGAGGAATTCGGTTAGAGAGGGTGTTTGGGTTATGCTTAGATCTTTGGAGAAGTCTGCTGCAGCGAAGACTAGGCCTGATAACTGATGTGTGGCGGCAGTGCAGATTTGAGGAAGATTCAGAATTGATTTCGCGCTTTCAATTAAAGCTATAACGGAGATTGGTGGATTTTTGGATGGGTCTGGATTGGATTCGGTGGGTTTGAGGTTGGAGCGAGTATGGGATATTACATCAGAGATGAAGTGGAGGTCAGAGGCGCTTTCAACTTTTGGAACGACGAGAGTAGTTAGATTTGGAGATTTGAGCTGGATTGAGGGTGAGAAGGTGCATCGTCTCTTGAAACCTTATGGGTCGCAGGAAGAGTAAATTTTACTGACCATTTCTGTAAGATCAGCTAGGGCCAGCCCACTGCTGACGGAATTGATGCGCACAGCGCGCTCTTTTATGCCAGATGGCTTGGGTTGGTCAATGGCATTTCGAATCAAGGTGCGTGCTTCGGCCTTTCTTGTTTGGGATACACTATCTTCCAGGTCATATGCCACACAGTCCGCGACGAGATTGCGAGATTTGTCCAGCATGCGCTGAGAGGAGCCCGGGACTATTTATGAAGAGCGACATTGTATTGGCAATTGATATGAGCAACTTGAGTACATGAAATCGAACATACCGTACAATAAAGCCCGGCGCAAGACGGTACCTGTGGAGGCCATGATGATGTAAGATGGGTAACGGTAGTTAGTCAACGCAATTCTTTGAAGCCAAAGCCGATGCTTATAAAATAAGTCGATTGGGAAATGTCACATATGCTTCATTTACAAACGTTGACCTTAGCATGTTAGACATAGTCGGTCAAGTTGCGGTTACAAGTTGTCAAGCCGGATACAATGGGGCTCTTGGCACTTAGGTAACTGGTAAACATTTGCAACGTAACTAACTACTTTCAGTTAACTAGTATTTTATCCTATCTAAAACTGTTGACTTAACGAACTACTGGTACATTTAACCTTACACAGCTTTCTTCTTGTAGTGTACAGATTAGAGTTGTAAGGATTCACTTTAAACCAAACAGTGAGCCTAGGGTCTTAGGCTCACTTTTACATGGATATTAGTGTATTTTGTACTTTAGACTGTATGAGCAGTGTAACATCGTGCCCCATTACGCGGCGTATACAGCTAACAAATATTCAATGAGGAGTCAAAACAGAGTGATGAAGTTAACGAAAGACAATTCAATGATTGAATTGCATACAAGTGATCATATCTAAAATGATCAAAGTAACTTCATATAGAGAGAGCCATATGTCTCATAGATAGCAATTGCTTGTGGTTACTCAAAAATATTTCTATCAGTTTCGATTCTCGAACAAAGTTTGTATAAGAGAAACTATTAAAAGTTGAAAAATGCAGTATCAAACAGAGCAAGGTGAAGTTTAATATAGAATTCAAGTTTAGCTTCGATATATACTCAGAAAGAAATACTGAGTAGCGTTTGTGTGTGAAAGCAGCATTTTCGCCATCCGACACCCAGTCATCCATTCTCTGGCTCCCTAAAATCTGCCGGACGAAGCAAACCACCATCCAAAACTGTTCCAATATGCGTCTTCCCAATCGCTTCACAATTCATCCGAACCTTCGTCAAAAATACCTTTAGAAACTTGACAGGACTGTCGATGAAATTCGACTTGCTACTACCCTTCAAAATAAACCCGTCTGCAGCGATCGCTTGACCGCTTCTATCCTTCTCCCAGGCAAGACTGAGAAGCTCACACACCTCCACATATTCTCTGAATGAGCTGAAGTACAATTGCCCAGAAAATAAATTCAGCTGCAGGACCAAGTAGCGAGGCAAGTCCCATACCACTGGCTGTTTAGGGGTGGTAAACAAATCCAGCCCATCCAACGTGCAAAAGCCCATGTTCATGCGCGGTGCATACAGGTGTAGTGTTGTAGCCTCAGACTGTTTTACTGCCGGTAGGAGCTCCTGCGCTTCTTATGGGCTTATGATGATCATGTGCTGGACTGTAATTGATGAGCTGCTGGTGATGTTTGTCAGGATCCACTGTACTGGCCGCTGGTACGCATTGGAAATGTATTTACCACCGGATATTTGAATTGTGCTGGCAAAATCAGAGCTCATGAGAAGTCCAGCAGGGAATTGAGAAACGTCAATATGTTTGGCGGCACTGGTGTTGCGCAATATCTCAAAAGCAGGTTTATAAGCTTTTGATTTTTCAATTAGCCTACCAGTAGACATGAATTCTATTATATCACGGGGGATGTGAGCTCTGCAGCTTTGGCTGGAGGTGGCCTCTGAGGCTGTTGCTCTTGCTCATTCTCAGGGGAAAGCTCGCGTTCTTGCTGCTCCTGGAGTGTGGCTGAGTTGAGGTCTGCACTGTCAAATTCACGACAGTGCTCCATGATGAGGTTGAAATTTCTGTTGTTGTTCGCTTTCCCAGTGGACGCCACTAGATTGCTTGGACTTGGTCGATACCTGGCCTCAAGGGTTTGGGATTCCTCTTCAAGAAATCGTGCAGCTTGTGTCGTCGATATTTGCACCTTTCCCTTGTTGCGGGATTCAGCCCAAAGTGAACTGTGACGTTCATATTTTTGACCTTGTATAGCCCAAAGCGGAATGCTTCGTCGCATATCAATGCAGGGTTCAGATATAGCCCAACTCAGGACATCTGACACATTAATTGAAACGTTTTCCGCATTCGCACGTGCCAGCATTTTGGTCTTGATCCCTCCTGAAATACAACATATAACGGACTGGCCTTCACCAAGTTTTCTCATTCTCATACATGCTGCACAATCCTTTTGCAGCTGGGGCTGTGCTGTTCACGGAAATTATTAAAGTTATGGGGAATGGCTTCATCGTAATCGCATTCGATTTCATTGTAGATTCGCATGAGGTCGTTGTAGTTCTCCTTATTTTCGTCGGGAGTTCTTCGAGTTTAATCTGTCTCTCCCGTGTTTCCCACCTCTCAATTTCCTCCAGAGTGTTTTGTAGCTCGTGACACTGATCGACGTACTTGACAGAAAAGGAATATTGAAGGCAAAAATCGTTGAATATACCCGGAGCAGAAAATCTTGCTCGCGCTTGACGGGAATAGAGATATTTCTCTACCCGAAGGAGCGTTTCCATTTCATCCTTGAAAGGCAAAACTAAAGATTGAAGCGGGCCTTGAGGAATTCCCGGGTCATAATCCAAAAGAAGTTCGCATATATGCACAGCAGATTCGTCACAAGCAATCCAAAGTTCAAGAATGATGAGTAGCATTGCGGAGGAGGCTTCCGGGTTTTTTGAATAAACGGGAGAGGCAATAGCATAGTAATTTTGAATCAAGTCGCCTAGCTTGCCACAAGTGCTGCCGTTCGATTTATGGCACTGTAGCCACTGAGGTAGCTTAGAGACAACCCAATCCTCTATGACCCTCAAATTAAACGACGCATATTCCTCGGCCAAGATGTTTGGGCAATTTGGAGGTTCGTTAGCGCTATATTTCGCGAGAATGGAAGCTGGTTGAAATGGGCCAAAGTTATTGATAATTTCTCGTTCGGGAAGCAACTCGATATATTCATCTAGTGCCGAGAGAGAATGAAATACATCTTGGTTGAAATCCAGGCATCCAAGGCCAGATAGTTCGTAGCGGGGACCGCTATTTTTCACGAGGCTCGACCATATATTTTGAATCCGGTCTCTGGCGTTCTGCATCGTTTTTGTAACGAAAGACTGTGTTGATTCCTGAAGGGGCGAGTCGATTTTAAGCAATCGGCGAGAGATTTTGGCAATCTGGATATATAGGAGATCGCTATGAAATGAATGTCTGAGTGATGATTTCAGAACACGACTCATGAGAAATATCATAAACTCTTTGTAGAGATCCACTAGAGGCCTTGTCGCAACTTTTGTTTCTCTGGAGAAGACAAGTTGCATTACAACAGGGACAAACAGCCATAGTGGAGATCTTCGCCACGGTAGTAAAGCATCGCTCCACAATACTTCTTCCCGAGTATTTTTCCAAATACGAGACACGTCCACAGGTTGGCCAACAGACCTTAGAATCCCCGCAAAAAGCTCAGTTACCATCTTTGGGTGCACAGTGTCTCGGATCTCATCGTGCATTTGTCCGGCCTTCTTCACCTTCGGCATTGTTTCCGCAGAAGGCTGATAGCTCATCTTAGTAAGTATACGAGAGACCATAGCTTAAAATCCAGGGGCCTGAAATGCACCAATGCCCAAAGAGAAGACCGGCCCTGGGAAAGACCGTCTAAGCCTGCCTTTTGTTGTGATAACAGCTTGATTGAGCGGAGATAGTTCAGATAACTCGAAACTAACGGAGTTGGCGACCTTGCCGACCAATATGCCTGTGTTCTGGGCCCGTATGTGAAGCGGAACCATCCCACCTTTGGTTGATTAGCAAGAAGGAGTAAACTTAAGGAAGAAAAATGTAGGCAATAAGCTTACCATTGTTGCAAAGATTTTTAAGAGCATCCTCAAGCTTCTCTTCGCTGAGGGAACCATCAGAACTTGAACACTCACGCACAGTCTTCAAGTTTGAGATCATAACAATAACCAAATCGACAATTCCATGCTAGTCGCGTGTGACACAGTGCCTAAAATCTAAGAGAGCCTGGAATATGGTGTCCAGCAGTAGATTTTCGTAATGCGAATTGAAGTCATCTTCCTGGGGGAGTTCGGGCGGGAGGAAAATGTGATGAATCAAGTACATAACTGCGTCATGGGACAGTTCCATCGTTTCGGGGGCCATGGTGACTACCGGGTTAAGCGCAATAATCCAGCTAGAAAGAGTGTGGATTTTGAGTGAGCACCGATTAGTATCAGGTTTCAGAGAGGGAAGATGAGGTCCTGAGTAACAGTATCAACATGCAACCCCGGAAGGCAACTCCAATAGAAGGGCGGCGAGACGATTGATGAATACCTCAATATGGTGAGCCGACCGAAGAAGAGACGCAGTCGTACCGCTGGGTTTGATGTAGTAAGAAATATGAGGGCTATCGAGCTCAGGTTGCCACTATCATTGTGTGCCTTGGAGGAGACTATTTATATGTAGCCCTAACAATGAATAGCACCGGGCCGTGAAAGCCCGGTGGGTGAAAGGAACCCTTCTAGCAAGCTTTCAAGATCGCTTCCAAGGCTACCACCTCACAATGGTGGTCGTTGGAGGCCTCAAAAATCCGCGCATGTTGCCAAATTGTTGGCTGCAGAGGTATGTCATCATCCCCCAATCAGCCCAGTAAAGGCACAGCATTTGAATGGTAGCTACGTGTAAGTTTTGAGCATAAACTCAGCACGAGTCTACCGAGACGTGCTGGTGAGTTGCTGACACTGATATAAATTCATATGTCAACAACAAATATTGTCTTGAGCTCCCTGTGTTGCTGGCATGGTATGGCACTGAGCAAGGCTGGAAAAATCCCTCTGAAATGTACATCTGTCTCGTAATAAAATCGCTATCGTCAAGAAGAACTTCCGTTAACCAGCTCATTTGATCGCTTAAATGACTTGCCTTAGGAAACGGAGAAAATTCGTTGAATTTCCTGGGGGTATATAACCATTGAGTTTGTACTGTACAGAGGATCCTCCGTAACGTAATTCTTATCGTGATGAGAGCTAGTTTACTAACCACACTCAGCTAGGCATTTTAAAATTCATCGTGGGGCGTTATTAATTTCCAGGACTGCATGTGCTTCAACCCTTTCCCTCTCCTAATTATCTAAGCCCTAACTTCAGGAATGTTGGGCCAGTGGGTAACCTGGGAATGTTGTCGCGGGCGGAAGCATGCCATAAGAGTAATTTAACTCGACAATAGTTACGGAGTTGTGTTGTGGGTGTGATTTAGTTGGGTCAACGTTCAAAAACCACGTTCAAGTTACTCCGTAGTTAGTATTTACCATAACCTTTAGTAACTAACTAAATACTTTTTTCAGAGTTTGGCTTGGTTCGTCCCCTTCTACTAGCTACCAGCATGGCGCTGGTGGTGATCGCTCGACCTCTTGTACCCAAGTGGCCTAACAAATACTGAGCTCACTCAAATGCAAAATAATTAGTTACTCGTCCATTTACTGACTTAAGCCTTCAAGGAATGCTACTAGTACCACTTCACATGTTTCGCATTGCTTTTTGGCCTGTCTCTTCCTTACATAGCCGCGCCATACCATGCAATATTTACGAGATGTCATTATCCATGACGTGAAAGGAAATCTAGTTACCAGAAAGATGCTGTTATTATTGACAACCCAGGAGAAAGTTATGTTTTGGTTGATCTAGGGTTGTGAGTGCACTCTGTGCTGCCAGCGCAGTTACAATAGCTTCTGTAGCTAGTGCCGAAGATAAGCTGAAGATAGATGTAAACTTACGTATTTCCATGATTCACAACACTCTTGGGTTTGGTAAGTTATCAGTGTGTGAGTGCTTGTACTTCCCGTGCTAGCAGTATGTGTTTTAATGCTAGAATCATCAAGTTATCCCCACCTCTATGTCCCATGCAAGATCCATTGTCAAACAGGGTCAATTACAAGCCTAGCAACCATATTCTTGAGCTCGAAGATGCACGAGATAGTTATAGATGGAACTTTTGATGGTACAATCCAGCCACCCATCCGGGCCAGAGCAGTCAGATCGTTTCGAAACTGAAAGTTGGGTGAGACTATGTGAGCAGACCAATAAAGAGAATTAATAGTAATTTGAGAAGGCAGAGTAGCTGCATTGGATTGATTGCCCAGCAAAACCAGCTGCGTATGGATGACGGCATCGTGGTGTACTGTACTAGGAATCAACAGATAAAAATCACGGGTAACGCAGCACGGAGTACGTGAGTAATGTGAGTAAATTTCATCTGCCTCATCGCGAATGTTGCATGAAAGAAGCAAAATCCGCAAGGCATGGAATAATAATAATCCATTCCATAAAGGGCCTAGCAGGATCGACAACGTTACTTGGTTCATACTCCGTAAAATACCCACTAGTTACTAGTAATAATGGATAAATCCTTTTCCTGTACAGATTACAATGAGGGGAGACTCTTCCCACCGAGATTTTGCATTCCTTCGTATGATAGTACTATAGTTACTAGTATGTATGATCAACTTTGTCGCAGTAACTTCTAGTGTTCGTTTCTTCAGATCAGCATTGAGGGATATATATCAATGTCATACACGCTTGAGGTTGGAATGTCCATAATGCTGTTATTGCCTGGTGCGTGCGGGTAAACTAACATTGTTTCCAGCACCTCGACTCCTCACTCCCAGTAACGGCGATTCAAGTGATTGATAGTTCTGATGGCAGATTTATCCTAAGTGGCTATGGACCATATCTCCAACTAGTTGATGAGGCCAGAGGTACTCTGCTGGATCGGATTCAAATATTTGAGAGAAACACCGTCCATGGTATTCAACTTGCCAATTTGGCGTTTGCGAAATCCGCTGTCAATGTTACCAGCTTTCTCGTTTGGGGTGGTCAGTCCTTCCGACTATTCACGTTAGAGGTCGGCAACCTTGGAAGTTGTTCACTTTCAGTTTCCAGCCCGGAGTGTGCAGCTCCTGACTGGATCCTGAATGCAAATTTCTATCGTCCAGAGGACAATGATCTAAACTCCTCCATAGCAAATAGAGCTTGTTTGATAACTGCACATAATGTTCTCTTTGGGTTAAAATGGGAAGATGACTCTATGACATACCAGGCGGACATTCGACTGCGCCAGATTGGAACGGGATTGAAGTCGGTCCTATATTCTGCTGATGTTTCATGGCTATCACCGGAACAGATTCTCGTGGCTGCAGGAACGGTCTTTGGGGAAATAGTTGTTTGGTCATCTCGCCTTCCTACTACGCAGAGGTCTATTTTCTGGGGAAACTCTTCCGTTACTATCCATCATCTCTTCACTGGACACGATGGGTCAATTTTTGGAGTGGATATATCTCCCGAAATCCGCTGGCCGAATGGCAACCAGACTCGAAGGTTCCTGGCAAGTTGTAGCGACGACCGAACTATACGGATTTGGGATATTTCGGACTGTTCTTCGCCTCTTGCAACCAAAAAACATGAAAAGGCAGCAGCAAGACCTGCAACTCGCTCTACCGGATTTGGAAATATTTTCCGTGATGATTTGGATATCGACCCGGAAGCCTGTATTGCGAAAGCGTGGGGTCACACCTCTAGGATTTGGAAGGCGAGCTTCGTGGATATAACTATTTCACCGCAAGCAACCTGTTTGAAACTCGTGTCTCTCGGCGAAGACGCTTCCTGCCAAGTTTGGCGCTTGAGGTTGCAATGCGACTCGCAGGTTGAAGAACCCCTTGCCTCATATAAACATACAATTCTTCAACATATGTCAACGCATGCCTACCATACTGGAAAGAATATTTGGTCCATGGCAGTGCATAATTCACCGGACTCGACGACAGTGTACTCCGGAGGTGCAGACGGAAGTGTACACTCATTCGTTATTGGGACAAATGAGGCGTCCTCTAAACATCGGTCGCGAATACGGACATACGATATATATGATCTTTCACAACATCTCCCTGTGTCCGTCGGCTCCATGCCTGGTAAAGCACGGAGACAAAAATCAGATGACAGGTTAAATCGATATGCATTTGTTTCTGAAACTTGTATTCTTGGGTTATCTTCCCATGGTAAGCTGAACGTGGGTCACATTTCAGATCTGGAAAGTATAGAGCCTCAACAGATGGATCAGAAGCACGCCCCAGCAATCTCCTGGGAGAATATTGAGGTTCTGGATTCACCCGGATCTCAGTTTGCTATGGCTGGCCATCCAGAGCTAGGGATTGGGATGATCGGTGATGTGAAAGGTACTCTGTGGTGGTACAGAAATGACACTAGGGGAATCCTTACATTGGTTCAGTTGGAAAAGAAGATAACAGGCATATTTTTCGCATCCTCACAGACCAAATATGATAATAACATTGACCCTATGTCTTCAATCGCTGTGGTCACTACATCTCTGGGGACACCGAGCACAAATCTATTTTTGATCCCTGACAAAAATTTTCCTGGGAACTTTACGAGGATATCCTTGGATGTGCCTCCCACATTCCTGACGACAAGCGCTGCTTTCATTGGACACAAGTTTCTCTTAATATTAGGGGCTAAAACAGGGCATCTAAGTGTTTTTGACCTTAAAAATGCCAAGGACCCTACTCCCTGTGTTCCAGCGCTTACCGTTTTCAACTTACATGCAAGGGACACTATAACGTCAGTCACTCCACTACCACAGCCTCAGCTCCAGGAGGAACGAATTTTGACTACGGGAAGAGATGGGTACTATTGTATTCACTCATTAGCTGGGACAGGGGATCCGAAATCTCCTTGGGCACTACAGACCATTCATAAAATGACTCCACCATTTGGACCCTATATTGAAGGTGGTTACTTCGATAAAGCCACGAACCATTTGATTCTCTTCGGATTTAAAAGCACGGAGTTTATCGTATGGAATGAATCAACCCAAACCGAACGAGCAACTATTGAATGCGGTGGTGCTCATCGAATCTGGGCCTACAACCCATATCACGCTGGTGATTCAAGCGAGGTTTTTGCGTGGACCAAAGCATCTACCTTTAACTTGTTTAGAAAAACATCCGTGCTACACCGTGCTGTGACGCTTGGTACCCATGGGCGAGAGGTAAAAGTAGCGGCTATTTCGGAGGCTCTTTTCGAAGACGGAGGCAATAAACATAGGATTATTGCTACTGGAGGTGAGGACACCTTAATTCGCATATCCGTTTTCGAAGAAATGACTTCTTCCAAGTCGCGGGCCAGCTTGGCTTGCCTGCGAAGTTTGAAAAAGCACAATGCGGGTATCCAACACTTACAATGGTCGCCATGCGGAAAGTTTTTATTCAGCAGTGCGGGAGCTGAAGAATTCTATATCTGGAGACTTCGATCTATTCGCGGCTTCGGGATGGGGGCCATTTGTGAGGGAGAATGTCCAAAGACAGCAGAAGATTCCGACTTACGGATCACAAGTTTTGATGTACTGCAGACCGCCACCCACGATGAGACAGAAAATTCGTTCCTGCTCTGCTTAGCGTATTCTAACTCAACTGTCAATGTAAGCATGACCCATTTTTCTGTGATCGATGCCAGCTAACAAGCAAGATTTTCCACTACGTCTCCGCCGCTTCCGGTGGTTCGTTTATTCATCTCAGCAAAGGCCGATACACGGCAAACTGCCTAACAGAAATATACTTCTCCAACTCGACCTTAGGGCTATCATTGATTACTGCTTCCACAGACGGATATATTGCCACATGGGACATTTCCGAAAACTTGAATGATATATATTATCTTTCTAACGACGGGTTAAGACAACCCCGAGGAATCAAGACGTCTACAGAGCCGCGGCCGGTAAACTGGCAACATCGGTACTGCATTCATCAAAGCAGCGTCAAAGCCATGGAGATATCTCCTTTATCTAATGGAGAATGCCTAATTGTGACTGGCGGGGACGATAATGCCATTTCAGTTTCCCGCCTTAGAATAGGCAATGGTGCGAACTCGGACCATGCCAAAAATTCATTTTCTACAATATCACTACCCCAAGCACACGCGTCGGCTGTAACTGCTATGTCTGTCCTGGAGAAGCCGGCCCGACTAGTAAGTATGTGCCAGCAAGATTATGCCGTATTTGAGTTGCTCATCGCATCGACTGGAAACGACCAGCGTCTTAAACTCTGGTTAGTTGAATTGGACTTTGCGAGATCTGGCGAGGATGGAATTCGCGTATCCCTGTTGCAAGATGTGTACACTTCAGTAGCAGATATGTCGTCGATGAGCAGCTTCAGAACGCATATTGGCAGGGGTGACAACAATGAGCTGAGGACATTGAAAATTTGTTTACTTCTTTGCGGAGTCGGGGTAGATTTGTGGTTCTTGAGGATGGCATGATGATGCCCATTGCATCGCGATATTGGAATTCAGAGTTCTAATTTTGGGTTCCAAAAATTAAAGTAAAGCAAGACGAACAACATTTCAACAATCATACAAGTTCCAGCAGCAAACGGGATAAATGAAAGAAGTTTCAGCTTTTTCCCCACATGGCATATACATCTAAGCTGATCCTGATGTATCAATCATCACTTTCGTTGTGGGCTTTTTTTGAAGTGGGGTTTAGATCAGCGACTATTACGGTGAAAGAAGCGGGAATCAACACTGGTTTATGGGGTATCGAGCAAATATCAAACTTTCCAGCATCCTTGCTGTGTGGCAGCCGGCATACTATTGTCACGCCCCTGCTAATTTGATATTCAAATCGACGATGCGATCCTTCGCTAGCGCTAGCGGACGCAATATTGCCCGAGTATCCGCGAGGGTTATTTGCTTCCTGGTAATTCTGGCAACATTTGGGTCGACTAAATATAACCATATTGATGAGTGATAACCGCATCACGTCCTCTTGAGACGTTACCATAGCTACCTATACTTCCTACAAAGAGGCTAGAAAGCAACGCAAGAGAGAAGATGGCAGCTCAAACCCCCACCAAAACCCTCACGGCTCACTGCTTTTGCCGTGCTGTGCACTACAAGCTCACTATCCCCATCACTTCCCTCCCGCTACGCACACACCTCTGCCATTGCGGCATCTGCCGCTTCACTCATGGAGCACCATGCGTCTTCCACGCGCCACTGCCCGTGGGTATAACTCCACAATGGGTTGCACCCTCAGGCCCACATAACCTGACCAGCTACAGACATACTAGTGGTGCTCTTTCCGATCGTGTCTTCTGTAGTACCTGCGGCTGTCAAATCGGTGACATCTGGCCCGCAAAGCCTATCAATAGCAAAGAGGATGAGGAAAAGGAAGATGCAGCTGACAATCGACACTGGACCATCTCCACCTCCATCTTCACCGAGCACAGCCCATCCAATTTTCAAATCGACAAACATATCTTCACCGACTCCGCCCCGGGAAAGGTGGGATTGCATCAACTCCTCCCTCGTATCAGCAGGCGCGATATGGAAATTTACACAGGTCACTTCCTCCCACCAAACGCCAACAGGATCCTTCCCCCACCCCCAGCACCCCCTCAGGCTGAATTTGGGAACACGGATAGTAAAGAGGAGCGGTTGCGTTGCGAATGCCACTGCGGCGGAGTGTCTTTCACCTTCCCTCGCCCCACCAAAGCCATCCTCGGTAATTCCGAGCTGAACAAATTCGTCTCACCCACCGACCCGCGCAAGTGGCTCGCCAGCCTTGATCTCTGCGATGACTGCCGCTTACTGAACGGTACACATGTGACCGCGTGGACGTTCCTACCGCTGCAACTGCTGGAGCCAGCTGTTGGAACTGACTTGATCATCGGTACGTCAAAGACGTTCGAGTCCTCGAAAGGGGTGAGGAGAGCGTTTTGTGGAACGTGCGGGGCGACGGTATTTTATTGGTCTGAGGACAGGGCCGATATTGTGGATGTGGCGCTTGGGTTGGTGAGGGCGAGCGAGGGATTGTTTGCGGAAAGCTGGGTGACATGGAGGAATGGACGGGTGGCCTACCAGGAGAGCGGGGAGAGGTTTGATAGAGATTTTGCGGAGGCCGTGGCGCTGGGGATTAAAAGCTGGGGGGCGGAGAGGGAGGGAGAAGTTTTAGATATCCAAATTGGGTGAGGCGGGTGAGGTGAGTGAGTCTCCGAGACGAGCAGAATCATCATTAAGGCACAGCAGTACAACAGGTTGGTTTATTTTATAGGTTACTGAGGCAAAATGCTCCTCCAGGCGATGTCGGAAGATATGAAGTCTGGAGGTCCGCTGGCTCTGCTCTTCAAATATATGGAAAAATCCGCGATCACTGAACATACGGAACACTATTGTATTTAATGAGTCTGTCTGCATATGAGGACTGGATGGCTTTGAGAACGCAATATATAAGTTATAGGTGTAGAAATACTTGATTTTACATTTTGAAATTGGTTGATAACCCCGATTTGACCAATTTCTCAATGGGGAGTGGGAATATTTGAGAAAGGCTGAATAGCAACAGTTACGCAAATTGCCGCAAATTCTCGCATATTTAATCAGAGTAAGAATCCATCTCCATGAGCAATAATGCGTATGGGGATGTTATTTCACATAGTCAGCTATCATTGATTACCTGGTCATACATACCACGCACGAGCTGTGAGGAGCCACCCTGATGCTACGTGCTACCATGCACTTCAGTGCGGATGGCTCGCCTGTAGAAGATTCAGTACTGGATGGGATGTTAATATTGGCCCTTGCAAACGAATTGGCAGAAAGCGATCAACGCTGGGCCATGTTCCACGGATACATCCTCGACCTGGACGGCAAAGAGACTCAAAACAGTAAAATAAGATAATCCAGGTCAATTTTCTGCTTAAATATCTGAAATGGCTACAGACGGACATACATCGCGTGCAGACAACACAGCACTCTTTCTCGTTATTATTTAAAAATATTTTCTCCAGTGCGTCGTTGTCGCAAGCAATTCCTGAAATCCCCTGCCTTTCCGTGGGTCGGGATCAGGGGGGCATTTGCGCCACACTGTAACAATAAAAACAGCGTAATGATAAAAATATCAACTTCTTCATTAATCAACCTTCAAATATTAATGTAAGTAGCGATGTTGGAAATGGCTGCTTATATTTCGGTTGGTCCTTAGGACTCTACGAGGATCAAGCAGTAGGAGATAATACGGTGATATATCGGAGAGGATTCGGATCAAGTAGTTAGATATTGAGGGTGTAGAACGTAGGGGTCAGATTATAACAGAATGATCCGCTGGTCCCTAGAAGGTTGGACCAGCTGCTAGCTATATACACACAGTATCATAAGCAGATCGAACTTGCTATGATGTAGATGGCGTAGTATGATGCAAGTGGCAAGATAATGCCTTGATTTCAAACTTGATATGACGTTGGTGGTGCTATGTTCGGCGATGTCATATCCTGATATGACGTTGGTGGTGTTATGTTCGGCGATGTCATATCTTTAGGGCTATCGCTAATTCCGGCCTAGCACTGGCACCTTAGTGCGGGTTTCTTACAACTGCCCCCCCTGAAAGGGCCGCTGTCCCAGCGGGCCAAAAAATCGTAGGGTAATCGTAGGTAGTTCGCGGTATTAACCGACATCGAATGTTGTTGTCCTGTGAGATTGTGGAGCTGCGCCTGTGGTCGAACCGAACCCAGCCCCCGCCCTCGAAATTCTTGCGATTCTGCAGCGTATTGAGGACGCTCAGAAGGAAATGAATGAAAAAATGGAAAAAATGGTGATGCGGATGGGGGAGATGGCCCAGAATATTGAATGCTTGGAGACGACGTTTTATACAGTATGTATATCCAAAGAGATTTCACTAGATAATCACTAACAAATCGTAGCTTGTAGGAAGGATTGGCAAAATTGAAAGGGAATTTGGAATCATGGAGGAAAATTAAATTGCAGATGGCGTTCTGAGGGGTTCTTTGCTTTTTCCTTCTGATCAGAGTTCGAAATCGTAACGTAGCCTCATTAAACTCCTAAAACCTTGTAGGATAAAAAGGAGAAGAGTGCCACTAAGCTTCAAGAACCCTTTGGGGTTCGAAGCGCAAACGTAGATAAGTAGAAACTCCAAAACCCTTTAGGGAAAAAATAGGAGAACTACTAATGTCGTATTCTAGAACGTTTCTTCTTAACAAGGGGTCGATTTCGATTTACCTTCTCATATTCTTCGAGAAGATTGCGGGAGTTCAAAAGATTCTCAGGAGGTTCCCAGGTGTTCTCAGTATTAGGATATCCTTCCCACTTAACAAGATATTGCTCCTTATTGCGGTGCAATCGTTTATCCAAAATAGCTTCAACAAAATACTCCGTTCTGCCTTCGAGTAGGATACCAGGAGGTTTCTTAGGTTCTTCACCCGGTCGCTGGTAATAAGGTTCTAACAGGGTAACATGGAAGACAGGGTGCATAGATCCAAAGGTTCTCGGAAGATCTAATCGATATGCTTGCGATCCGATGGTGTTCAGAATTGTAAACGGTCCAAACCATTTATCTTCAAGCTTGCGGCATGGTCTAGAAGTTGCTATATTCAGGGAAGATAGGAGAACTGGATCTCCAATGGCAAAGGTTTTATCCTGATGCCTTCTGTTATAGTATTCCGCTTGCTTTTCGAAAGACTTTCGGACAGTAACTTGAAGCTTGCTCTGTATTTCTTGTAATTTCTCAACCCTTGCTGTAGCTAAGGGTTCTAGATCAACAGAAGTTGCAGATTCAGATTCTTTATCAATCACCCCTCTCGGTGGAACAGGATCGTAACCTAGTAGTGCTCGGAACGGTGGCATGCCAATAGATGCCTGGGAAACAGAATTGTAGGCAAATTGTGCCTGCGGAAGCAGATCCACCCAGTTATCCTGGTGGTAGTTCGAGTATGCTCGTAAGTAGTTCTCTAAGGTTTGGTTCTGGCGTTCCGTTTGCCCATCGGTTTGAGGGTGGAATGCCGTACTCAGATTGCGCTTAACTCGTAAATAATAACAGAATGTTGACCAGTAGTGACTGGTAAACAACTTGTCTCTATCAGATATGATAGACGAAGGCGAACCGTAATCGCTTAGAATAGTATCTATGAACAACTCTGCAAAATCAGGAGCAGTAATTGAAGTCATGCAAGGAAAGTACTTAGCTAGCTTAGTATAGCGGTCTAGTATGACCAAAATACTATCATAAGTGATTCCCTTTCGAACTACTGGTGGGTAATCCGACAATGAAATCCATGGCAAGAGAACTGAACGGCCTAGTAGGCACAGGAATTTTGGCAAGTTGCCCGTATGGCTTATGCCTCTTAGCTTTAACATGCTGGCAGATATCACACTCTCTGACGTACGTTTCGACGTCTTTTCGGAGCGTATTCCAGTAATACTTGCGACGTAGAAGCTCTAAGGTTCTGGCAATACCAAAGTGGCCTGCCCAGGGGTCATCATGATGAATTCGCAACAACTCCTGGGTGATTGCTTTGCTAGGGGGAACGTAGATAGCATGATTGCGATGTAGAAGTCCACGATCTTCATCTACTCGCCAGATGATCGAAGGATCTCCGGATGTATCGGAGGCTTCTCTAAGAATCCCAGGCTCCGCGCTATTCTCAACTTCTTGGCTTCGGGCTACAGTAAAGGCGTCCCTCTCCTGCAGTTCCTTAATGAAGTCTAGAAGCCGATTAGTAGGCGGTTCGTGGCCTGTTTCGTCCTCAGCAGCTCTTACCACTGCTAGACGTGGCACGAGAAGTTCATGACCTTCAGTGCCAGTTCCAAAGGAACCTCGGAAACAAGAATACTCTGCAGAACAATCTGAGCTTCCCCGTACCGAAGGCGACTCGGTATCTACTAAGCTGTTCTGACTAGAGCCATGAAGTCCCTGGCGGATCTTTTTCTGTAGTACCAGCAGCATGACAGCTTTGGGTCTACATCCCCAGGGGAAATGACATAGTCTGGACGTCTTGAAGGTGGATCGGCGGGGTTTAGCCGTCCTGGTCGATAGACCACATAGAAATCATAAGCAGATAGCTCTTCCGCCCAATGCGCCTGGCGGTTGTTCAAGCTTTTGTTACAAAGAAAGTATTTCAGATTATCATGGTCGGTTATGACCTGAATTGGGTACGGATTGCCTTGCAGATAGTGCCGCCAGTGGCGAAATGATGCCACTATAGCCAGAAGTTCCAAATCATGGGTGTCATAGTTCCTAGAAGCTCCAGAAAGCTTCTGTGAGAAAAATGCGATGGGCCTCCACTCTTTTCTTCGAGTAGGCACCGAATTACAGATGTTTTGGCTTCGTTCAGATGCTATTTTCATAGCTTCCTGGTAAGTTTCTGGTGGTGATTCAAGGCGTTGAGATAGAATGCCAGCAATACCATCCTTGCTTGCATCCGTTTCGACTTGGGTTTCCTTCCGCGGGTCATAATGGACCAGTAGAACAGCTTGTGCAAATGTTTCTTTCAGGTTTACAAAAGCTTTTCTTGCTGAATCACTAAGTAAGAACTTAGTTTGCTTGTCCTTAGCATTTCGAAGGAGATCCGTAAGAGGTGCGGCTATCCGTGAGAAAGCATATATAAATCTTCGATAGAAGTTTGCAAATCCTATGAAAACTTGAATATCTCGGATATTTTTAGGTTCTGGCCAACTTAGAATGGTTTCGACTCGGTTTCGATCCATGGCTATACCGGTAGGTGATACAATATAGCCAAGGAACTCAACCTCAGTGGTGAAAAAGGTGCATTTGCTTTCCTTAGCATAAAGTCGATATTTCCGTAAACGTTCGAAAATTAATCGGAGGTGTTTCGTATGATCTTCGGTATTTTGGGAATAGATAAGGATGTCATCGAGATAGACAATACAGCAGATATCAACAAGGCCTTTCAACACCTCATTGATATAAGATTGGAATGTAGCAGGGGCATTACAGAGCCCCATAGGCATAACACGGAACTCATAACTGCCGTATCGGGTTCGAAATGCAGTCTTCCATTCATCCCCTTCTGCTATCCGTATGCGATAGTAGGCATCTCGGAGGTCTATCTTAGAGAAGATGATGGCGTTCTGTAATCGATCTAACATTTCTTCAATGCGAGGAATTGGATATCGATCCTTTATAGTGATCTTGTTAAGGCCTCGATAATCTACGCAAAGGCGTAGAGTTCCATCCTTTTTCTTTGCGAATACGATAGGTGCAGCAGCAGGGCTCTTTGTAGGACGAACCCACTGCCGTGACAGCATCTCTTCTAGATATTTGCGTAGGGCATCTAGTTCTGCTATCGAAAGATTGTATAGAGGTCCGTAAGGGGGTTCCTTTCCATCTTGTAATCGAATATGATGTGATATGATGGGGTTCTCATCCAACTTGGCTGCTGCTTCAGCAGAAAAGATGTCCTTAAATTCAGTTAAAAGATCTTGTAGATTTTGAGGTAAGGTAGTCTCGTTAATAGAACATAGTCGTTCCGAAGAAGATTCGGTGTTGCCGTCCCAAAAGTAGAGTGGTGTTGTAGATGTTTCTTGCATAGAACGAATAAATTCTTCTGGTTCTGCTATTTCAATCCTAGTATCTCCGATTCGATGTCGCCATGATAGTGCTTTCCAATCGATCAAAGGATTAACTGTTCTTAACCAAGGAAGACCTAGATAAAGATCCTCATCTGCTAGGTTAACTGAATGGAAACTAAGTTTGCTCTCTCGAGTTTCACCTAGCCCATCGGTGGCTCTTTGAGTAGCATTAACGATGCCATATCGGTATCCTCGTCGTCCGTCAGGATATTGCACTTGAGATGGTGGTCCAATCCGTTTCCATCCTTTTGAAGTGGCGTAAGTGTGAGAGATATAGTTGAAATCTGCTCCAGAATCGACTAGGCATCGAATCGGCTCAGGACCACTAGGGGTGTCTAGTTGGATAGTGATATACATGCGGAATCTACCATCTAGTCACTCCTCATCCTCCTGAGTCTCTGTGATATGAGCTATCACAGGTGTCGGTTTCGGTTTACCAGTGGTTTGAGTTCGTTTTCCTTTCTTAGTACAATCCCTAAGGATATGACCTGTCTCCCCACAGAATAGGCAAAGATTGTTATTCATACGGTGCTGACGTTCTTCTATGGTGAGTTTTCCAGCTGAGGTTAAATTTCGTTGCGCCTTCGAAGGGGAACCATCAGAGTATCGCTTGGTTCCACGCTTATTGTCATTCTCTCTATTCTGTGAAAAGGACTCTTGCTTGTTGTTGCTCCTCCTAGTATGGCCCTTGTAAACGGCTTGAATTCGAGCAACTAACGCAAGTAATTCGGCTTGATTAGTAGGGGGATCATGGTGAGTTTGAATTTGATCCTGTATCGTGGTTGGCAACTTAGCAAAGAATACTGAGCAAATAATTTTTCCGGATCGGTTGCTAGACCATCGCGAATCTCATTAAATCTGGAGGCAAATTGTTGCACTGGCTGTTCCAGTGGGCACTTCAATTCCTCAAAGCGAATCGCTGCCGTAAAGCCACGGTTGCGTACATCCTCCAGATCGTTATGCAGGAATTCCTTAAAGTCCTTCCATGAAAAAGGTTGATTTAACCTTTCGAGCTCTTTCTCTTTAGTAGCCCAAGTGGTTTCGATTGTTTTCCGTAACCAACCCGAAGCATAAACGATCTTGACCTCATCGGTATCATACTGAGTTGGATTCAACTTGTATATACGTTCGAGAGCTCGTATGAATATATTATATTCATGTAGATTACTGCCATAATAGGCAGGTGGATCGGCAAGTCGGATTTCCCGCCGGTTTGCTGAGGCAGATACTGCTGGTGCTGATTCAGCGATCACTGATCGAGGAGTATTCGTAGGTTGTTCGGCCTCAGACATGATGATCAAGATGCTCGGTCCTTGTAAAGGTAAGGGATAGAGCGGATCAAACTGTAAGCAGCGATGTTGGAAATGGCTGCTTATATTTCGGTTGGTCCTTAGGACTCTACGAGGATCAAGCAGTAGGAGATAATACGGTGATATATCGGAGAGGATTCGGATCAAGTAGTTAGATATTGAGGGTGTAGAACGTAGGGGTCAGATTATAACAGAATGATCCGCTGGTCCCTAGAAGGTTGGACCAGCTGCTAGCTATATACACACAGTATCATAAGCAGATCGAACTTGCTATGATGTAGATGGCGTAGTATGATGCAAGTGGCAAGATAATGCCTTGATTTCAAACTTGATATGACGTTGGTGGTGCTATGTTCGGCGATGTCATATCCTGATATGACGTTGGTGGTGTTATGTTCGGCGATGTCATATCTTTAGGGCTATCGCTAATTCCGGCCTAGCACTGGCACCTTAGTGCGGGTTTCTTACAATTAATATATCATCACCACCATGACCAATAAGATGGATGATATTGAAAAACATATTCAGAATGTCATTGAAGTCTATAATGACAATCAAAAACAAAAAATCCTTTCTCTGACATGCAAATTCAACATTCCTTATCAATGTCTTTGAATGATAATCAATGGAAGAAAAACACACAATGCAAAGATTACACTGAATAAGAAGCTTAGCAAGAGTCAGAAGAATGTATTGAAAGAGTGAATAATTTATATGAATAGAAATAATTGCCTGCTGATTGCAAAGCAGATTCAAAATAATATAAATTTTATTTTTAAATATTATCATATCAATTTTTCAATCTTTTCATCTGTGATCAGCAAGATGTGAATCTATCAATATATATAAAACTTGAATGAATATAAAAAAATAAAATAAAAAATAATGAATCTGAAAAGAATTGTTGTAAAGAATATTAACTATATTAAAATGTGATTTAATTATTTAAAAATTTTATTTCAAAAATATGCATTTCAAATCTGTGATATCTACAACTTTAATAAGATTGATTTTCAAAAAAGTTAAGAATGCAGAGAATGAATTATTACTGTTTTTAAAAATTTGAATTCAATTATAATTTCATTATATTTTTGAGAATTGATTATTGTGATTGAATGTATTTCAACAAATGATGAGATATTGAATTTTTTCATCATTATAAAATTCAAAACTCATTTTGAAAATTGATATATATAAAACAATCTATTAAATGAATATACAATCACAATATCAGATACTAACTATATTAATGATGAGATTGACTTTATTTAAATTTAACATTTTAATAAAATTATTAAAAAATATCAATAAAGTAATTATTAATTGTTGTTTTTTGACAATTATAAATTTTATTTCATTGAAGAATTGTGATCTTCACAAAATTATTTTATATGAATTTTTTTCAAATTTAATTCATATACTACAACCACTAGATGAGGTGCTATTTCAGTAATATAAATATTATCATTTAAAAACAATTAATCAAATCATTTAATATGAATATAAATAATATGAAAAATATCAGTTTTTACAGAATTTAATTGATGTTTGTAAAAAAAATCTTTCAATTTTTTATTATTCAACTTGATTTTTAAATCATAACATTATTTTTTTTAATTTATAATTTATATTTAATAAATTAAATTCTAAAGTCTCTGACTGCTCTGAGCTGTGAATATATAAAGAAAATGATTTTTTTTTTCAATTAAATTATTTAATTACTTTCTTCTCATAATTATTCTTTCTGAAGACAATTGAGAAGTTACAATGTCATATTTGAATAATAAAGAAAATAATGCAAGATATAAAAAATATATTCAATTTCAAATCATTTTATTTGAGCAATCAATTACATAAGATTTTTCAAGACAGTTTTATACAAATGAAATTCAATGCTATGAAAAAAAATGAAATTGAAAATTACTATCTTACAGTCAAACATTGTAGCATTAAAAATACACATCAGCAGATTCAAGTAAGTAATATACTCACTGTGAGAAATGCAAATAAAAAGATCATGCAATATAAAAAAAAGAAGGCTGAAAAACAACATTATAAAAAGTCAAATATATTAGAAAAGATTTGAAGAAAAACACCACAGAATCAATTCAACAAGAGATTAATGATATATATGAACATCTAGTGAATAATACTGCTACTACAGATGATATAGATAAATTAATTATCATAGATTAGCTACATGATGTTGAGATATTGATTTTTGAAGTTCATATTATTCATATTTTTATTGTTACACTGTTTTTATTGTTACGGTGTGGCGCACCCACATCAGGTGTGGGTGCGCGCGGCACGATTAGTGACAAACGTGGTGAAACAAACAAACCACCGACTTTGACGATTTCATTGTCGGCGTTTTCGATTCTTCTCCCTCCACTATTTCATCAATTCTGCTTCGCCTCCCGCACATTCCATTATTTATACTGCGGGATAGGTGTTTCTTCCTTTTCTTCCTTTCTTCGAATATTAGACTTCTCTTCTTGAATATTATTGACGCCTTGTCCAGCGTATAACTACTATAATTCTTCTATACCCTGTTTATACCCCCCTTGAAATATGTCCATAGCATATTGAATAACAAGCGAGCCCGGCGCGATAGTTAATATATTTACTAAATTCATTCCTCATATCCTTTAGCTCTGTTTTTTTCTCGCCCCGACCTCCTATCCGTTGAAACCGGGCTGCTTCCCCCTCCTCAAATGGCCGCCATGGCCATCCCACGCTCACTGCGCAGAACGAACCCTATTACCCTCATTCTAGCTGGTCTACTCACGGTTGGGTTCCTTTTCTTTATCTTCTCTCCTTCGACTTCTGCCACTGCGTCCACTTTCCAAGAACGGAAAAACTATGCGGCTGCGAGCGTTCTCTCTCCTCCTTCCAAACCCTTCTTCAAGGAATCCCCGATGAAATCGAATGGCCGTCCTGCGCCGCCCCCAGTCGTCCGATATAATATGAATAACAACACTGCGACAACAGACTCGATCAAAAACCATGAGCGTGTGCTCATTCTTACGCCGCTAGCTAGATTCTACACAGAATACTGGGACAATTTGGTGAAGCTCTCATTCCCACATCAATACATCTCTCTGGGATTTATTATCCCGAAAACGCGGGATGGGAATGCTGCGGTATCAGCATTGCAGGCTGCTATTAAAAAGACCCAGTCAGGGCCGGTTGATGATAGATTTGCTAGCATTACTATCCTACGGCAAGATTTCGACCCCCCAATTCCATCCCAGGCTGAAAAGGAACGACACAAAATGGAAAATCAAAAGCAACGACGGGAATCTATGAGTCGGGCGCGGAACAGCCTTCTCTTTACGACATTGGGGCCGTCGACATCCTGGGTCCTTTGGCTCGACGCCGATATTATCGAGACCCCTGCGAGCCTGATTCAAGATCTGACAAAACACAACAAGCCCATCATCGTACCGAACTGCTATCAACGTTTCCAAAATCCAGACACAAAACAGATGGAAATACGGCCATACGATTACAATTCATGGGTAGACAGTTTGCAGGCACAGGAACTCGCCAAGGGTATGGGCCCGGATGAAATTCTGCTGGAGGGATATGCAGAAATGCCAACCTACAGAACACTGATGGCGCACATGGCCGACCTCTCTCCAAACCGGAATACCGATGTAATAATGTCACTTGACGGAGTCGGGGGAACAGCTCTGATGGTAAAGGCGGACGTTCATCGCGATGGCGCAATGTTCCCTGCCTTCCCTTTCTACCATCTAGTAGAAACGGAGGGTTTTGCAAAGATGGCGCGAAGACTCGGGTGGAAGTGCTTTGGATTGCCTAATTATTTTGTGAGTTCCCCACCTGTTTCCTACTTAGAGAAGCTGATACATCATACCAGAGTGCGTTGCATCTGTCGCTAATTTTTTCATTTTCCTACAGGTGTATCATTATGACGAGTAAACTGATTTGCATTCAACATACTTGACATTGATTCTCTATCAATTAGAAATCCGGGTTTACTATAAGTATTTTGGCTCCTCATATTTCATCTATTTGTTTCCTTCCGTAATTCTTGATCCGCTTTGGACTTTTTTACACTTTAATTTTCAATTTGCTTCCTTTTGGTCACGGAGTATCTAATGGTTTCTCTTCCCACATAACGTACTTCACCACTTTCTCAGCCATGTACCCATGTGACATAAAACTCAATTAAGTTATTCCTATCAAACTAACTAATTAACCTACTTAACATCACTATATAACCACTAGCCGTAGACATCAAATTAAACATGCAAGTCTTGCCTAGATGTTGCACACAGGCTTCATATAACTAGAGTAAAGAAGTATAAATATATATAGATAAAATTCACTAGTTATACAAGACCAGCTTCTATAGTAGATCACAGCTTTCATCATTTTAGTGCTTCGGCTCTTCACTGACTTGTCACTGATTTTCAAAGGATAGAACACTCAAAATAAGTTAATATTTACACTTAGAATTTCTGGATATGTGAATGTACTGTACAAAGATTGGAGCCGCATTGTTCTAACCCATGCTCACATACTACACTATATCTCATAGGTAGGTAGGCATAACGCAATACACTTGTTGGCTGTGTCGTTACTACGTATATTTCTCAAAAAACGTTCTGCCGTAACAACATGATTATCTCCAACCATGCAACCGCCATAACTTATATGCCCATCAAGAGAGAGGTAGAGTACATAGGACCTTCGTAATTTATGTAGGCGTCCTCAGCAAGAATTATGTTGTTATGTCGTTATTAAATACTAACGTGATCGTGGTGTTAATGTTGTGACACAAGGTGGGTGAGGTGAACGCGGTGAAGATGGTGTAACTATATATAATTGAGGCATTTTTATATTTAAATAGTGATCTACACAAAAAAAAAGACAGCTTTTGAAGAAGTACCAAAAGCACCCTTTCGTTCCTCGTTTCACGAGGTCAAAGTATTCATCGAACTCCAAATTCAAAAGATTTGTTAATCATCATTGACCGAGTTACTCAAGCTCTTCTTATTCCTGTTGGTCATATTCACTCCAAACGATGCCTCAATCAAGCCCACGATATGCTAGACAGAAAATAGTCAGTAAACTAAAACAAATATATAATCCTCGACCCAACTTACCAAAGCATAATTCCCGCCCCAGCTGCCATTGCAATAAATTGTTTAACTGCCTTGCTCAACTCATGCCCTTTATCCCTGCCCGTCTCCAATAGCTCAGGAATAACTGCAACAGTGCCCACATACAAAAATGTTCCCGCAGTGAATGGAAGAAGCATATCTTTCATTGTCAAACTCGTGCCAAGAAGGCCTGTTTGCAACGCCCTCACCCCAGAATCCGAGAAGTCTCCTACTTCGCTGTTGTTGCCAAACTCTTGAACCGCGATTCCAATGAAGGTTCCTAGGAACGCTCCAATGGCAGTGAGGAATTGGGCACCCATTGCCTTCCGCTTGGAAAAGCCAGATTGGATCAGTAGTGCAAAGTCACCGACCTCATGGGGGATTTCATGAAAGAAAACTGCAACAGTCGTTGTTGCGCCGATGGTTGGGGAGGCGTAGAAAGATGAGGACATGGCGAGCCCGTCGGTAATATTATGAGTGAAGTCCGCGATTAGGTTGAGATATCCACCTAGCTTTGTGCTCGGGTTTATTTCCCTCCCGTCGGTCTCCGACAGACCGTTTGTCTCAGGTTTGACGTTTGGTTTGCGCTTCTTCAGCTCGCCTTTGTTCTCCCTATTGGAGGTTGCGGAGCTGGAGGATATTGCCATATTATCTTCCACTGCATGACTATGGCTGTGGCTATGATCATGTCGATCCTCTCCCCCGGTAGCGATACGGAGCCCCTTGTCCATGGCCACGAATGTCAAGAATCCTACGAGGATAGCAAGACCAAGGAGAATGTTTCTATTTGGTTCGACGAGAACAAAGCGGGCATGTTCGGGGGAATCTTCACCTAGGAATATCTCGGGTAGAAGATGAAAGAGAGTATCGCCGAGAAGTCCACCAACCGCAAACGCAACCATTATCGATAACGAGGAAGGATCGATGTTTGGAGGACATAATGCCAGGAGGAAATCTGCCAATTGTGAGAATGGAACTGTTTCAGGGCTCAGCTGATATGACGCATACTGGGTGGTCCTGATATGTAGAATGTTGCTAGTACAGCATTTACCGCTGGACTGCCAGGGAAAAGCACCGCGAAGAGTTGAGAGGTGAAGCCTGTGGATTCGGGGCTTGTTGCAAGTTTGTGCGCGTTCAGTTCTTGGACAAAAGGGCATTCCTAGTTTAATTGATCAATCATTTATGATGTTCCGCCATTCAGTTTCAAAATCGGTAAATGAAAGTGTTTCGTACTTGTAACTTGGCTTCTATCTCTGACGCTGAGAGCTGTTCAACGGGTATCTGCTCGCGTGAGCTCTTAGTCGCCGCGAGACATGTGAGGAGTAGAATAGTAAGTGGGAACAACGCCCGATGGCGTCGTGAGATATAAGAAAGCATTTAAATAGGTAGGGCGCTTGCGCCCAATGATCATGGAAGATCGATTGTCAAAATCCTTGGTTGATTTGAATCCTGAGGTTTGAAAGTTGTTGCATTCGAATGAAGCCAGCGACTCCAGGGCTAGATGTAAGAGACACGTGATTTATTTTGGAATTGATTTTCGGCTATGGGTTGAGAAGTTCCCGAGTGCAGTATTTCCTGGGTATGAAGTGCCATGTACTTTGTCATCAGAAAGGCGTTATAATAATTAGACGAAACGAAACGACAGAATGCGGGCCCATCTTTCAACCGATTTAGAAAAAAAAGAAGAAGAAAAGAAGAAAAGAAAATGCTTCAGGTATCAAAAAAAAATTACAACACCCCCTTTGTACTCCCTACCTCCCCACCGCCTCCAACCTCTCCATCCCCTCTTCTCCGACAAGCCAGTCTCGTCGCTACCGCAACAGCCTTAAAAGCGCTCTCTGCCCGATGATGATCATTATCCCCATAAACACATCCAACATGTAATGTGACGCCCGCCGCCTGCGCGAAGCTCGCAAGTCCATGCGAAATCATCTCCGTACTCAATGCGCCGACCTTCTCGCGCTTCAGGCCTAGGTTTATCACACTGTATGGACGGGAGGAGATGTCGATTACTGCCCACGAGAGGGCTTCGTCGAGGGGGGCATCCCCGCGGGCGAATCGGACAAGGGAGACGCGGGGGCCGAGCGCTTTTGTGAAGGCGGTGCCGAGCGCAAGAAAGACATCTTCCACTGTGTGGTGGTCGTCGACTGAGGAAGTGAATTAGCGACTTGCTTTTCTTCTTTGATCTTGTATGGGAGAGAAACATCCATGAGTGAAGGAGGCGGGGTGACAGAAGAAACTGCCGCCAAACTCCTGCAAAGCAGAAAATAGGTATCCAGTAAATAAGAGAGGGGGAAGCTAACTGATCAAATCCCCTTTACATCGCACTGCCAGACTCCATCCAGCATGCTTCGCTAGCGCATGTAGTAGGTGATCCAGAAACCCTATGCCGGTAGTTATGGTGATCTGTTGCGAGGGAGTGAATTGAGTGGAATGTGCTGCTTCAGGAGGAGGTATTATGCGGAAGGATTCCTCTGAGTTTGTCCGTGGGAAGTGCTCGCACGGTTCGTAGGCCGGGAGCACGCCACCATCGAGTGAGAGGGAGACTTGCACCTTTGTCTCGTTGGTTAGGCGGGTAACGGTAGTGCTGCGAGGGGGGAGGGACATGGATGGAACTTCCGAGTATGATATACCCTTATGTCAGGATGGTCGGTGGCTTTTTGGGTATTCAATTGGATTGCAAATAAATCGTTGAGGGATGAATATGGCGATAGAAATGCCTATGGAATTCTAGTTTCCACAATATGTTTGCCGATCGGATAAATATATGTCCGAGTCACTCTCAACCTCAGGGCTCCTTTCGGCTTTTTAGATCCGAACGAGGACAGCGAGGGCGGGGACGAAAAGAAACCAATCCCTCACACCTACCGATCAACCTGACTAATTTATCGCGTTTCGAGGTGTGATGGCTATAAATTGAGCGTCGTTGTTGTGGAAGAAGTCCTAGGCTATCTATCAAATAATAGCTTCCCTGCTTTCAACTGTATCCTCCGCGACCCTCCGCCGCACGCAGACAAGAAATTTATCTTTATATGCAGATGAACCCTATATGTTCGATATTCGCATACAGCGGGGCTCATACATATAAAACATAACACAATGCCAGCACCCTCGAATCAGCGCGGAGACATTGACCCGCCCCCCGAAGTCATGCAAGAAGCTGTCAAGGGTTTCTTCACTGGTGCCGCTCGTGTACGTCTAAACCCGTTTAAATTTAAGTAGAGGAAAGGAAAGGAAAAGGGCAAGGGCTTCAAATACCATCTCTTCTTCTACTACATCAAAAAATAAATTAAAAAAAAGAAAAATGTATCCAACCCCACAGTCAGGAAATAACCAAAGTAGAAGAAAATGAAGAAAAAAGAACTGCTAACAGACCCGGCTTCCCTCTAACACCCTCCAGTACGGTTCGATCTCCATCCTCGCGCACTTAATCCTCCTCCTTCCACACCCACTCCGTTTTGCCTCCTCTAATCCTCCCTCCAACACCTCCTCATCCCCAAGCTCTCCAATGTCTAGTTCCCATGGACACCCCGAACCCAAGCGCAGACCTACCCCACACACTCCCCTCCTCTACCGCCCCTTAACCTCCCTCTCCGCCAACCTCGCCCCAATCTCTCGCATCTACCGCGGCCTGACTCCACAGTTCAAGGTGTTTCTGCAGCTGAGCTCAATGACGCTGGGCGGTTGTATCTGGGCGGAGAAGAGGGTGAATGAGTATTTGGATGTTATGAGGAAGCTGAAACGGGTGGAGAGGCTGGAGGCGGAAGGTGGGAGGTAAAAGCAAGCTGGGCGAAGCGGCGATGCCTCTTTCTGCGCATGTCTTGCATGTTTTTGTATAAATACTTAGTTGCTTGATAACCACATCTTACCTCTCTCATGAGCCTACTTCTATGCGTTCTTCCATCCAAGCGAATGTTGTCATGTATGGGCTTCAGATTCCGAGGATATTATCGTGACGTCACCCTGCGATTGCCAGGATTTGTGACTTCAGGCTGTTTTCCTTGTTCCAGAAAGGTGTGCCAGTCGTAGAGTGCGTCGGTTCAACATTCAGCATTGTGATCTTGTGTTAACCAAATATCTCGCGAGGATCCCGACTTCTTGTTCGATGATGTTCGATGATTAAGCGACAATGCACTGGTACATAATACATGCACAGTACATGCCGCTCTCTTCTCCGCCTTCGATCAACTCAGGGCTAAGTTGCGACAACTCACCGGTCCACTTGCTAGAAACCCGCATTAATAGAAGGTGAGTTCTGCAAGAATTGGTCAATTCACGTTCTGTAGGCTTCCAACATTCGAGAAGGTTTCCACAACGGGATTGAGAATTACACCACAGCTTTGGAGACGTCCACCACCAAATCGATACGGCGTCGTTGTCCCTGGAGTCTGCTCTTCTAAAGGGGAGCCTATTTTAGCGTCTTCAATTAACCACCAAGATTTGACCAATCGATGGGCCTGTTGGGGGACTGTTTCGCTAGTATGGAGTAAGGTTAAGAGTGTAGCAGTTTTCCAACTTTTGAAATCCATATTCCTCACATTCTTGGACTTTGCTTGATGAAATATTCAATGATGGCAGTCCAAAGGTCTCTGGAATAAATGTGCCATCGCTCAACGTCATGGAAACGCTCAAGATATCCTTTGGACCATGATGCTCTGGTATTTCTTTAAAAATGGTCGTCAGACCATCTTCTAGCCTCAGCTAAATAGTTAGTTAACTAATGAGGAATCATTCTGGAGGTCGTCAACGCCATTACGTAGAGATGTCAGAACTCCATCCCATGAGGTCTCTGAGCATTGTTATAGGATCTGATCATAGTGATGGCCGTCGTTAGAACTCTCTGAGCATCAGATACATAACATAATGGATGTTGAGAGTTATCTCCGCTAAAGAATGTAGCCACCTCGCTAGTGGCCAACCCATACCTTGATATTTAGCAACCTAGGTCTATCAAGAACCTTTCGCTAAGCAAGCCATGTTTAACGCTGTTGCTGGCTTAGGGCTGGATTGGACCTAGGTACAGGTATACAACTATGGAATAAGGTTGCTTAAGTTCCATGGGCCGAACTCATAGCCCAACGGCAAGGGAGCCGAGCTTCCGTTGGGAGCAATGGAGACTCTATTGCATATTAAGATGATGATTCACTATCGATATCTCGCTATTCGCTTGTCTGTGCTCTGTTTCTTCTTTATTGGGCTGCCGATTGCTCATCATCCATCTCTGTTTTTCACTATTCTTCGCGTGGATACGGTTTCATACTGTGGCAGATCTAAATATATTGTCCTCTAGCACTCCGTATTCATAAGAATGGATCCTGTCCGACTATCTGTCTGCCATTTCTAAGTCGATCCGGCTGCCCGACCTAACCTCGCTGCAATCTGATAGCCTGCTGTGACATATATGGTCTCTCTACCTGGGTCATGGATACAACAGAATCACCGCTCCTAGAAACTTTCATCACCACACCCAAGCACAGCCTGGAAGCTGATCGGCCAATCTCACCCTCGTCAAACTCACTGGAGCCAATCGTCTTCTTTCCTAAAGGTATATACTCTTCCTCCTTGAATGTCCGCGAGCGAAAGCAGGCCAGATCGCAAAGTTGTATATAGCTAACATAAAGAAATACATACAGCACGATGGCCAGATCCGAACCGGAACGCTGTGGCACGAATGAACCCGATCACTATTGCTCACCGCGGCGCCAAAGCCAAGTTCCCAGAGAATACTATGAGCGCGTTTATCCACGCCATCGATGTTGGTGCACAAGTCATTGAGACTGACCTGCACCTTTCCAGGGACGGGGAAATTGTTCTATCTCATGTATGCTGAGACATTTCTTTGTTATATAAATATACCTCCATGCATTTCTCGAAAAACTCGAGTCAAGTGCTTTTATTTTCCGTTTTTGTTTCAAAATTCTAAAAACAAAAAACCCCGATCATCAACATCAAGGATGCAACCCTCCAACGCTGCTTCGGTGTGAAAAAACGGATCATCGATTGTGATTGGCAATATCTCAGCACTCTACGGACGACAGTAGAACCTGTTGAATTCATGCCCCGCTTGGTTGATTTGCTGCGGTACGTTTCTGCTGCGCCTGAGCGGAAAGACGTTTGGATTCTATTAGATATCAAGGTACGCTTTGCCATTCGCCGATGCATACATAGTTACACTTATATCCAATTTCCAACCGTTCATTCTTTGCCATGCCATGCCATGCACATCGTACTAATCTATACTACTTCCAAATAAAACAGCGTGACAACCATCCCGAAACCATCATGGACACTCTTGCAGACTTACTCCGCTCCACCCCCTCAGAACACAAGCCGTGGAACGAGAGGATAATCCTCGGCTGTTGGACAGTGAGTTCACCTTCGCTGATGAAAATGAATAAATCAAACAGATATATATAATGTCCTATATATCTCGGATTTACAAAATAATAATAATAATAATAATTACCGTCCTCCATCAGACTAAATACCTTTCCCTCGCCCACCGCCTTTTCCCGGCCTACCCAGTCTCCCTAATCTCCTTCTCCCTCGCCTTCGCCCGCCAATTCCTGAAGGTCCCCCACATAATCTTCAACATGAATATGCACGCGCTCATGGGCCCTGGGGGTGCGCAATTCCTCGCCGACGCCAGGGAGGCGGGGCAGCAGGTCTTCGCGTGGACTGTGAATAGGAAGGAGTTTATGCGGTTGTGCATTCGGCGCGGGCTCGATGGGGTTGTCACTGATGAGGTGGAGTTGTGTCGGCGGACTTGCGGCGGGCGGAAGGATGGGCCGTGTCGTTTGCCTGAGAATGGGGGAGATGATGATCGCGATGACGGGCTAACCGTGCTGCAACGCGCTGGTGTGCTGGTTAGGGCTGTGCTCTTGTACGCGGTGGGGAGCCTGTTTACCGTTGTTTATCGGGTGGATTTAGATCACTTTATTTATGGGTTGTATCATGATGGGAACGGAAAAGAATATGAATAGAGGGCCCTAGAATTTTTCCCGTTTTCTAAACTGAGCTAGATGAAGTTGTATGTTTTACAATGAATAAGGAGCATGGTAAATATGTGTGACCGCTATGTGCATGTTGTCTTCAATAGCCTTCTTTCCGTGTCGTATCATCTTCACAACTACAGCACCAGAAAGGACAGGAGAAATATAGCCTAACATCTAGCTGCGCAGATACACGATGTACCAAAATAAATACGCCAGGTATACTTGCTCTTCCATTTCCGAAGCTAGAAAGGTAGGTTTTTTACAACAAAAAACGCAATCATATACACCATTTACGTCAACAAAAAGAGAAATAAAAAGGGACAAAAAAACCCAAGCAAGAAACAGGGGAAGGAAACAGAACGAGAAGGTGATTGGTCCAAATATGCTCATGTACATGTAGATTTAAAGAGAAGAAAGGAAATACCAACTAAAATCATAACACAATAACAGGCAACATATCATCCCTTGTTCTCCCCCACCCAAAAATTCCCGTTTTTTGCGTTTGTTTTATTGGTGGGAAAACAAAACCCTAGGGACTGTGGTAAAGATGATAATATGAATGTACAAGGAAATATTGTATCTACGGATCTTGTAATTCGTGAGAGCCCCAAATAAAAAGGGAAAAGTTCATGATACAGTGAAGTGGGCCAGCCGAGGGGTTAGGCGTTAGGAAAAACAATTTAGTATTCCAGGCTTGGAGTCTGGCCCTTCACACGTCCGATGACGATGTGAGAGGCATATTTAGGGATGACCTCGTCGTCGTGAAGCATCTCAAATTCTAAAGTCAAAGGAGAAGGGAAGGTAGTTAGCATTTTCAAGCCATGATGAGCATTAAAAGGTCAGCACCGGTGCAGAAAACGTGACGCTTACCTTCCGTTGCATCCTTGCCCATATGGCTGAAGAGAGCCTGGGCCCCACCAGGGTGCTCATCGAGCCAATTAGAGACATCCATCACGACACCCTTAACAACGATCCATAGGTCATCTTTCTTGTTGTGCTTGGCAACCTCTTCCATTGTGAACTCCTTATTAGGGACCTTGAAGTTCGCGATGTCCGCAGCACCATCTGCGGCCTTGGCAGATGCAGCAGATGCAGTAGAAGGGCTTGTGGCCGCTACAGGAGCAGGAGCAGCTTGGACAGAAGTTGAGGCACCACTTGCACCAGATGGAGTAGTCCATTCAACGGACACTTTGCCCGGCTGGGACGGATCGATGTGGAGGGATATTTGGTTTAGGCGAGATGAAGCGAGAGCTGAGGGGTTAGAGAGGAGTTCCTGGAAGAGGAATTGGCTGGCGGAGTCACCAGCAACACGCCCGTAAACAACACATCCTAAAAGAGAGGAACCACCAAGACGATTGGCACCATGGACACCACCAGCAAGCTCACCGCAGGCAAATAGACCCTCAAACGGTTTCTTTTCCGAGTTCAAAACTTGAGCCTTGTCGTTGATCTCAATTCCACCCATTGTGAAGTGGAGAACGGGTTGCATGAGCGCAACATAGAAAGTATCATCAACACTCATAGGGCCATTGTGGAAGTATTTCTTCCCAAAGGGATCCTTCTTCTTACCATCAGCAATCTGATTGTATTCGTCGAAGGTCTTCCTAAGAGCAGCTTCTCCGCAGCCAATATCCTTAGCCAGCTCTTTGCCGGTCATCTTCTTCATCAGGCCACGGCCGGAATAGTGGCGAGTGTGGAAGTCAAGGACATTGGAAGCTTTGCTGTTAAGTATAAGGCGAATTGGCCACTTGCCCTTCTCCTTCTCTTTCCACATTTCGCCAGACACATAATCTCGGTGGCCCAGCTCATCAGCGAATCGCTGGCCTTCAGAGTTAAGGAGGAGACCTCCCTCCCCACGAAGAGCTATTTACCAAACATTATTAGTTAACGTAGTTCCTTTTGACGGGCAAATATATCAAACGTGGAAGATACCTTCGGCAGCCAAGAACTTCCACTTGGAGTCAGGATCCTTAGGATCAATGAGGCCAGTTGGGTGAACTTGGACCTTATCCATATCAATACCATTAGCACCAATGGCCATGAGCATTTTCTGGCCATCACCTGTGGCATGGACACCGTTGGTGCTGGACAGATGGAAGGTGTCCGGTCTCCATTTTTTCAGGAGAGAATCTTCCGTGAAATCAGCAGCGTATCCACCAGTGGCCAAAACAACAACGCCATCGGCCTTGTGGGTCTCGCCATTATATTCATAGGTGACGCCAGTGATCTTGTTTCCTTCCTTGTTGACTGCGGTGACACGGGCCTTCTTAAGCACCTGTACGCGGTTTGGCTCGCTTTGTGTGAGCTCCTCGAGGCGCTGCATCAGAGCATATGTGATAGCCATACCGGGGAATTTGGCATCATGGCCGCGATGGGTGCGGGGGAAGGAATGCCCTCTGGATAAACCAGCCAGTCATTAGCATTCCTAGAAATATCGTATTTGAAAGGGGTATGATGCAGGAAGAGCAAGCATGGGACAAGTGATTGGATTGTAAAAAACAGAAAGGAAGAAAGAACCAAGGATACGAACCCGAGTCGCGAAACAAGAGTAAGATCAAGCTTGAAGATCTCTTGCAGCCAATGAATAGCGGAGGCAGAGTTGTAAGTAAGGACCTTAATTAGATCTAGGCGAGCCTTGTCTCTGGCAGATTGGAGAGTATCCTCGTAGAACTGTTTCACACTATCCTCATATACCGCAGATCAATCTGTGTCCGTGTGAGAGCACCATTGATGCCTGAAGTGG